AAGGGGGAGGCAGGAGCTTATTTAAGGTTTCCTCCCCGCTGAACGACAGTCAGGCTTGTTCCAGGACAAAGCCAAGGCCAGACCCCCTGCCCTTTTCCCCTCCTGCCCAGCACCCCGGGGCGAGGCACGCAGGCACTGCAAGGGTGAAACAGGGCGGGCTCCCTTTTTCCTGCCACCACCAGCACCATTCCACCGTTTCAGTTTTTCCAACATTCATTTTTTACAACAGCAGTCAAACCAAAAAATTGTCAAAAATTAAGAAATGATCCATTCAGTTGCAATTCACATAGTTACGCTTCAGTCTCCCAAGGACTAGGCCTTATTCACAGAAATTCTGCTTGAAACTGCTTCCTTAGCACTAAAGCACACTAAGGTTGAGCCAGGTAAGCTTTAATATTCATGTGAGTCTTCTGCAAAAGAGAGAAAAGACAGTGCATGACCTACATACACAGGTCATACCCCAAAATTGGCTTCAGAAGGTGCAGAGAGAGTACAGATTAGCTATCGAAACTAGATCCTGAAGGAAGCAACTGGAGTAAAGGTATCTTGTTTCCTTCAATAGAACAAGAGTATGACCATTTTTACAATTTTAGCTTTGGAAAAAAACAAAGTTGTAATTACTAGTGCATCATTTTCTTTTCTTTCATGTTACTTACAATCAGCAATTACAATGCTTACAATTAAGTCCCCATATCATAAAATTCAGCATCTCAAGCTTGTCCAAAACCACTGCAATGCATTTCTTGTTCTTAAAATATGGAAGTAACTATACATTCAAAATAAAAGCATTGCAATTATATACATAACAGCGTATTCAAGCAAATACAAGACTTCCGATCACTTATTTAGACACATTTTGTGCTTTCCCTGTCAGTTTTGACAGAGGGGTGAAAGAACATGAGCGTTCCTGCATCCCATTTTCATAACTGTACAGTGAGCCACAGCAGAACACAAGCTGGGTAAGAGTTTAGTCAGCATTTTTCAGTCATCCCTAGTGACAACACGATTTGGATTTGCTCACACTATGCTGATGTACACTCCCCCTGCTGGGAGAGGACCACAAGTTAAGCGTAAGTTACTAGTAGGAGCGAATAGCAGGTGGGACACTTGAGCAGTCTTCTTCATTCAAAGTTCTGTCAATCACAGGTCTGTATTTCAAGGTAACCTAAGGCAAAAGAGAATAGAGGACTTTAAGACAAAGAAACCTCTTGCATCCCACAAGACAGCCTAGCCAACAGCAGTGACCGAAACCCACACGTAACTGAATGACTTCCAATTCCTCCATTATTCTTTTTCTTCCACAGAAAATGAACAGTTAGTAACCTACAAGGAACACTTCAGTTCCACCAAGTTACCACTGCCCGAGTTCCTTCAAAGCAAAGCCTGACCAGAAACGGTACCAGCAGATGACTACTTTGGAAAGGCCTTTTGGACAGAAGTCAAGTTTTGGCCAAGATTGCTAGTTCCTAGTTCTCTCGGCTAGGAAAGTCTTGGAAAGAGAGAACCCAGCAGATCAGTCAGGAGACAGAACTGTGTCAGTCTGTCTTCCCATTCTCAGCAGCTAGTCAGTGAGTGAAGCATTCTCACTTGGCCCCAAACTAGAGCCAAGCAAGCTGGCACTGGGGGAGAGGAAACAAAGAGGATTCAGAGAATGGGATCCAAAAAACAACACTCAAGATATTTGTAGTGTCAGATTTTAGTTCTGCCTTTGAAATACCACAAAAACTTTACGCTAAACACCAACAGGTTTTGCCACCATCAGAGGAAAAGAAAAAAAGCTTTTGAACTAGCCTGATACAAGGGGGAAAACCCAGCTCGAATCATAAAGTCACTTCCTTTCAGAGAACAACAGCAACTCCTCCCAGTTCCGCCTGCTGTTCAACACCAGAGGAAGTGTTCAATTTCTTTATTTTTTTGCTGTAAGTACACTGAACTGGATCAGGTACCTCAGACAGTGACGATTATTTGCAGCATTATCACGATATCAGGGCTGCCTACGAGAGCAGCTGTCTGTCCACAGTGAGAAAGACCCTCAAGCATCAGGCTCCACGTACCTTCCCAGATGGGACATCCACATAGGAAAGGGTGTGCTTTCGCCAGTGCTCTTCAAACGCCTTCCGCTGTTGGCCTTGGAGTGGCTTAGAATAGTCAAACTCATCTATCCGTAACTAAGGAGAAAGTCAGGTCAGTACAGGCCAGTGGTTACACCTGCAAATCCCTTCACAACCACGTGACTAGTTGCATTCCAACTACAGCTGTAACACAAGGTGTCTCTAGTAGCCAGCAAGCTTTCCCTTAACACTGCCCACGTCACATTTTAAATACTGAGGCTTAGCAAGGGCTTTAAGGTGATGTTCCTTGCACAGGACAATTATTGTGCTCGAAGCCCTGTTTATGCATTCGTGACCTTATTATTACTACAGTCCTGGTTTAGACCTTTCTAATCATTCAGATGGAACCCCGTGTTGCATGCATTGCTCATTTTATAGATAAGGAGCAAGAACAGATAGAGCAGATGTGACCCCAAAGCAATACTACATTAATCTTAACTCAAGACTCTGAGGACTGTACTTTGAAGAAATTACAACTATTGAATAATCCAGCCAAGGACACAGAACAAGGAAATTCACCCAGGTCACAAAATATTTATACCTTATAGTCCTCTCTGGCATGAGCACCCCGGGACTCTTTGCGAGCCTCAGCACCATAAATGGTTTGCAGAGCACAAAGCATCAGGTTTTGCAGTTCGAGGGTCTCCACCAAGTCAGTGTTCCACACAATACCTAGTAAAATATTAAAACACTATGGAAGATGTTCTACAAACAAGTTATTCCTCAATTCACTTCTGTCCTATTGCTGATACTTGGAATCAAACTAGCCAATGCTCTACTACTGCAGCCACAGTACTCTGCAGTACTGAATCACTCACCGCGGCCTGCAAGGCTCAGCAACAATTCCTACACCCTGTAACAATCGTAACAAACCTTGGAAAAATTCAGTAGTTCTACCAGGTGTCCCTGCTGTGTGTGTACTACCGAGACAAGAATCACACCACAGCTCTGTGCCTGCTCTGTATCATACCTACAAGTCAGTCCCCACATCTCATTTCAAATCACAAGATCTGGCTAGATGGTAGCTCAAGTAGATCCCTAGCAGATCCAGACACCAGGCTTTCCCTTCCTTCCCCACCTCAAGAGAGAGGAAAAAAAAACCTGCTAGTTATACAAGGCTGTTCTTCATTTAAGTATCTCCAGGGCGGACCCAAGTTCACTTACATTAATGTATCTTCATTTTGATCCCTGCATTCTAAGCCTCTGTAACACTTCTCTTGATGCTCGGTGAGAGCTGCCCAAGAAAGCCAGTTCTGCTGTCAGTGTTAGGATACACATCCAACAGCAGCAGTTGCAGAGGAGCACACAACGTGAGTGGACAAAAGGCACATCACCAGCTGTACTGAATGAACCAAGTTCTCCTCAGATATACTGGAAGACATGGCAGCGTCCGTATGCAGCGCTACCAGCTCAGCTGAAGAATGGAAACCGAGTGTTTGGCCTATGACTAGTCTTGCCACCTTTCTGCCTCGCCCTGACCTGTTCCAAATGGTCACTCTTTAGCCAAAGTTCCAAGAAACACATAAGAAGTTTTACAGAAGGAAAAAACCCAAACCCTTTTCCCAGGCAGTCCTCTGCCCAAGGTGTATTCCTCGCTATCAAATTACCTCTGTCAAATGTCTTCAGATGAGTCAGATCGCTATAGATTTGGCTAAGTTTTTCACAGCCTTCTTGGAGTACAGAACCAGTACGAAACACAGCAGCATGGTTTTGCATTGTCTGCAAGGCAGTAAAACAAAATCAGTTTCAGACACTGCATATGCATAACATCCCACGTCATTCCATTGGCTCCAACAGAGCTCGGTATCGAGCTGGTCTGACTTCAAACATGTCTACAGCCTGAAGAAAGTAACATTCTCCTGTTCACCCTGAACAGAGGGAACCCCGCTCTATTATACAGTGGATATACCAAGAGGAATAACCATGAAGGGAAGAAGAAACTAACAAAACCGATACAGCCTTTGCTGCACCCAACCTTCTCACACCGCTTTTCACTTCTGCAAAGCAAGTCCTGAAATGTACTTCGCCAAGTGACCAAACCTCCTGCTGCTTGCAGCTTCTCCCCCCTTACACGGAGAGCTTCGCCAGGCTTACCTTCTGCATGTTCAGTCGCACTTCTGAAGTTCTGACGGTCCCGTTAGCAAACCTTAATTTGTCAAGATTAGCAACTGACTCTTCACCAGCATTTGGTTTAATGGAGGGAACTGCCTCTCCTAAGAAGAAAGTCAGTTTAGTAGGTCAGGCTTGGTTTTGGTTTCTGGCAGTTTCATACACTAGCAACTACTAAAAGTCAGATTTGGCTAAAACACAATCTGTTTTCTTCCTCTGAGGTACAGGTTAACTGTAACTTTCCTGGACTCCCACCAATAGTATCCATACACCTAAAAACAGAGTTCTCTGTAGAATGTATGGTTCATTCATGGCAGAATATATGTCATATTCTTTCTTCTGACAGTTAGTAGGGAATTTATAGGTTTGGCTCAATTCTGCCATTATTCCTTAAAAACGACACTTGAGGCAAATTCTTCTAAACTACGAAATAAGCTCGTGGCTCCTTACCACCTTCTCCTATACCTTCCTTGCTGCCTCACCCCCAACCATCCCACCCTCTCTGGGCTCTGTTAAGGAACCAGTCAATCAGCTCAGCAGTTGCAGGCGAGCTCTGCATCTTGCCTCTAATACGAGAGCCCATCTGGGTAACAAACCAGGCACAGCGTCTTACCAGCACACTTCATCCTACGTGTAGCTTCGCAGTCAGACTAACAAAAAAACCTTCCTGCAACTTCAAAGAAGCCACAGAAAGATCCAAATAAAAATTCACGCAAAGCCACAGCCAACAGGCACCTCTAGGCCTAAGCCAATTCCATCGGGAACCATCTCGCTGTGCACTTTGCGCAGCCAGACTGAAAAACCAGTCGTATTAATTTGGATGGTAAGCAAAGAGAAAGTGGGTGACTACTTCTGGACTTCAGCTGCTCTGGCAATATAATTACCTCTTACAGTATTTTGTTATTGTTGCAGTGGGGCCAGCGTGTGTGTTTGTTTTCTCAGCTCAGAAACTGTTGCTGAACCAGATTATTTAAAAATAATATTCAGCAGTAATAATCCACAGAAAGGGAATAAGACGTTACAATATCTATCTCTTGCCACTTGCATGTGCAGCCTATGGTATAAATCAGCAAGGTGTCATCAAATTCCACTACACAGAAGTGCCAAGTGTAAGACTTTGATGCAGAAGACGCAGTGCAGGATGCAGAGAATTCAGTGTTCGATATTCTGCTTTGCTAATTTGCAAAAAACCTCAACTGTTTTTGCCAATAGCATTGACCCAATTCTATTTTCAAAAACATCAACTCACAAAGCAAATGTTCATGTCAAACATTTGCATAGCAAAGAACATGCCTACGAAAAGCATAAACACTGATTTCTGCCTTTTCTAAAAAACAGGAGCCTGTGTCTAGCCTGCTGAAACTGAATTAGGTAGCAACAACTCTTTGTCGGGCAGAAATGAAATCGTAACAGCAAACATATCTCAAAAAAGTGAGACTCACCAGGCTTGCACGTCTCTGCAATGGTAAGGGCACAAGCACGACCAAAGACCACCAAATCCAGAAGTGAGTTTGCTCCAAGTCGGTTTGCGCCATGGACAGATGCAGAGGCTGCTTCCCCACAAGCGTATAAACCAGGTACCACTTTATCCTCACCATTCACGTGTGTGATCACCTGTCAGTTCCGACAGTCAATTAATACTCGTTCCTTAAACGGTTTGTAACAGTGCACATCTCCTTACTTGCAAAGGCTGTGTGCAATTAAGGACAAAACACAGCAAAGTCTTCTCCAACTCTAACACCATAAATACCTTAGTTCTAAAGGGTAAGCAGTAATACTATGGAAATACAGATGGCACTAAAACTTAAGATTTTAGTTATGCTTCTGAAGAGTACATGGTTCTGTTTCATCACAATTCTGCAGCAAGTCAGTCAGAAAAGCACAGCAAGAAAGTCTGATCTGCATGCATTTCTAAGGCAAAATTTTATTAAAAAAATAACAAGTACAATACATTGAAACAGAAGAATTCAGCTGACAGCATCACATTGACTTCTAACTAGTACGAGTTGGAGGAATCTGCTTTAGTGTAGAGATTACATGAGGTACAGAGAACTACTAAACATTAACTCAAGTTATACATTGTAATAGAGCCCTAGTTTGATCTTTGTTCAATCATATTATCCTCAACTTGTGAGCAAAGAATTGTTGTCAGAGGCGACAGTAACTTTGTTTTAGATGTTTCTTGGAACTCCCATCTCCAGATGGACTGGAACGCGGTTCTCAAGTTATTTACAAAACCAAACCAGACTGCGTGTTTTAAGTACTCTGACATCATTATTATATCATCATCAGTATTATGGTGGAAAAAAAAAATACTAGAAGTGATGTCTATCACTCACCTGTCCTTTGTAGTTAGTAGGAATACCTCCCATATTGTAGTGCACAGTTGGCAGAACAGGAATAGGCTCCTTAGTGACATCAACTCCAGCAAATATCATAGCTGTTTCTGAAATCCCTGGCAGACGGGTTGCTAGCTGCTGTGGTGGTAAGTGGTGCAACTGCAAGTACACATGGTCCTTTTCAGGACCACAACCCCTACCAAAAAAAAAGTCAACATTGGAATACATAACAGGAATTCTGCAAACACCAGTAATATTTCTAATCAAATTTCTTCAATTTGTGGAAAAAAAAATATATTTTTTTCAAAGGTTATCTGACAAACATTAGCATCGAGCATATTTGAAGACTGTTGAACCTGGCAGAATTTAAATGTATTTTTTACCTCCCAGCTTTTTCACAATAATTCACAGTATTTAAGACTTTAAACCACTATATCTCTGCAGAATTATGTAAAAATTTAAGGTAATTAGTGAACAGAGAACCAAATTATTTCCATTGTTTGCATATACATTAAACTATGTTGAGCAACTGTCTCTAGATGCACCGAATTCAAACAGGAGGCTCCTAACATCTTGTGTTCCCTTTCAGTATCATTAGGAACTAACAAGCAAAATTTCTGCCCTATGTGCAGTGTTCAGTAACAGTTATTAAAGCTCCCTCCCATGAATTATCATGTGTTTATCAAATGAACTATTGTACTGTTTACAGTCTAGTACGAATATTTATTCTGCAGCTTTGTTAAGAGTATTTAACTAACCTTCCTTCACGGATTTCTATGGTCATAGAACGAGACACTACATCCCTGGAAGCCAGATCCTTAGCAACAGGTGCATATCTCTCCATAAATCTTTCACCTTGACTGTTAATTAGAATACCTCCCTCTCCACGACACCCTTCTGTTATAAGGCAGCCGGCCCCATAGATACCTATGAAGAAAGAAAATACCATCAAATGAGATACTCTCTAGACAGCTTCATAAATCAGGATAACCAGGACTGAATAAACAAGGTCTTCTTAAAATAATGCAAGTAAGTCATAGGGATAGATTTTATTCCACCCTAATCATATTGCTAGGAACTGTCCCCCAAGACTGCTTAGAAACACTTCAAACACTCCTCCCGAAAGGTAAGCAAGTTCATTTGGAACACCCACAGTATGTAAAATATTAGAACTGGAAGAGATCTGCACCCATCAATGCACAAGCAGAATTTTACAACGATTTTGTAGACCTTCAGGAACTTTGTTCGAGATTTTTAAGTAAACCAGAAGTTGATTATCTCAATGCCTGCTTGCTCATCTTCATTCCCTCTTCTCCTGGGCTAAGGCAGGACAGGGTGGCTTCAAACTGTGTGGCATGTCAAGGCTTACTCAGTTTTCTTTTCCTTTAGAGAAGGAAGGCAAGCTACACAGCACTGGTGATCACAGACAACAAAAATGCTGACCAACTCATGCACTTGATAATTATATCAAAAGAATTATCATGCAAGCAATAAAACTTCTTTGACTAGAAAAACCTTAGCTAAGTCATATGAACATTGGATCTCTACGATATAACACCATTGTAAAACTAAGTGAACAAAAAAATTCACCTATAAGTTAAAGCTAAGCATTTAATTAGCTATAAAAAGTTACTTTTTAGTTTGTGACCACTGTTGTCCACAGTTTAGACACCGATCCTGTACTATAAAACCACAGTCCTAAATATATACCTTTACTTCAACTACCCCACTTCCACAAAAGATTCTAGCAACTCCCTAATATTTGCTTCAAACCCCTTAATATTTTAAAGACAGAAGGAAATGCAAGTTTAAGAGGTCAAATGGTTTCAGCCTGGAATTCATAAAACCTGCTAGCATTGTAAACATAGCACCTCAAAATATTTAACACTGGCCTTTAAATTAGAACACCTGAGCCTCTCGTATTGTAAGTCTTACTCTCAGATTTATACTCAACAACAGCTGCAGACAAGTCTGAACACTTGTCACAAGCAACTCATGAACTAATGAAGTGCAGCAGAAAAGTGCAAATTGACTTGAGCACAGGCTTTTGTTTAAAAAAAAATCTGTTCAACCAATTAAAAACAATGCTGTAAGTATTATTTCATATCCTGTACCTGTAGGGTGAAACTGTACAAATTCTAAGTCCTGGCAAGGGAGACCAGCTCGTGTGACCATAGCAGTGCCATCACCCGTACTAGTATGAGCAGATGTACAGCTGAAGTAAGTGCGGCCGTACCCACTACGGAACACAAAAATTAACAGAATTACAAGGGGAGAAGAATTTAAAAAAAAAAAATCACTAGAACATGACTCAACTACGCTGTTTGCGCAACAGTGGAAATAAAGCCAAATTATGTAGGCAATCAAACTAAGTATTTTTCTTTGACAGGTATGTTTGTAAACATTCTGTATACTGAAACAGATAGCAGACAGCCATAAGCAGCAAAAGACTAATGCATATCATATTCTATAAACATATACAAACTTTTATAACCAAGTAATGTTAAGTTACAGTCATGTTCTGATAATTCCATCCTACAACAATTAGACTGACAATGTTGGTATCAGTGTAATAGATTCCCCAGAATTTTGAAAAAGGCTGTTTTCTAGAAGAAACTCAGAACCCTACAGATAGACACACATGTTGGTAGCACTGCAACAGTGTCTGCTTTAAACAGCATGTTTTAAAAATCCAAGACCGTTTGGACAATACATACTGCTCTTACATATCCCAACTTTATGTCACTGTTCTAGAATTCAAAATTAGACATTGTACTAAATTTATACTGGGTCACAAAATTAGTACGTGCCTTCTTTCTCTGAAAGAAGGGGATGACTGAATGCAGTTATATTACTTTTGATCAAAGGGATGGGATGAACAGATACATTATGTTTTTCAAGTTAGGGTGACATCTCCACACTGTGGATTCAAATACATGTACAAACCCACAGACTTCCAACTAGTAGCACTCAAGTTTCTGTCCATCATAAACATTACGTTACCCAGTGGCAATGACAGTGTTCTTTGCTCTAAAACGATGTATAGTGCCATCTTCTATGCAAAGGGCAATAACACCACGACATTCTCCATTTTCCATAAGTAGGTCTAAGGCAAAATATTCTACGAAGTAGCTTGTATCGTATCTTAGAGACTGAAGGAAAAAAAAAAAGCTTTAGGAAAAATCCATCAACCAAAGTAACCTCTCTTCAAACCTGTCAATGCATATGGGCTGTATCAGGATAAGAACCACCCCCACCAACTCTCAGGGAAGCCAGTTTCCTCACAAATCTTTACAAAAGTTTGCCAACGAATCTGTTCTAGCTTAGAGACACAAGTAGTTACCAAACCACTTAATCTTGAGAAGTCATAGCTAGTCAGCAAGACTTGTTATTTCCCTCTACATTTGGCAACACTTCAGTCAGCTGCAGTGCTCAGTACATGTACAAGCACGTTCTACTTAACCTCTCACAGAGAAGCAGAATGTATCTCCTGGAGCCCAGTATACCAGCAGAAGCAGTGGGCATCAAGTCAAACATTCTTTCATGCCCTCAAGGATCAAAGCAGTGCTTGGCAGCCCTGAGCATCTATACTGCAGCAGCATATACAGCGTGAACCTGAAGGGAGAGCAATTAGCTAGCTACTAAGTAAATAAAAAACCAGTAGCTACTAGCCACTTAATTTCAGGCTTCAAGTAGCTTATTATCATTTTAAACCAGCCAAATCTTTCTTCAGTTGTGGTTTGTAGAATTGACAGGAACAGATGCTGGAACACCAGCCCGTCACTTGCCATACAGCAAGCTCACAAAGGCACAGTAGGCCTTCGTGCACTCACACCTCGTTTCCCCCTACTCCCTGTTCGAAGGTAAGTGAAGGAAAATGCTGCCTCATACCCTCACACCCTTTTCAGAGTTCCCCAATGCTGCCGTGCCAGATTTCTTGAAAAAGGTTTTTTGGGGAACGTCTACATAAATTCCCTTTGGGTCTAGTTAACAGACACAAAAGTACCAACAGTGAAGAACTACTACAGACCACAGCACTAGCAGCATAAGCTAATTAATGTCCGTTAACAAGAGCCATTATAATTATGATCTTTCTACATACTCCTGACAAAAATGAAGCTTCACATCCTTCCACATTGCCTCAGGAAGAAAGGAAATCTGGAGTTGTTTATCCTTCATTCCCCTGGATTCCTCATTCATATTTGAACAGCTGTTTTTTGTTTGTTTGGGGTTTTTTCACCAGCCCTCCCACCTCTCCCAATTCCGGGGGGGGGGGGGGGGGGGGGGTCAAAGGAAAAAAAAAATCATTAATTGCAAATACAAAAACTCAAACGAAGTTTACTTCACAGCCGCTTACCCTGCCATACAGCGTATGCAACAGCGAGTGCCCTGTCCTGTCTGCAACACAACAGCACCTGTGAGCCTGTCCTCCTTTTCCAAACTGCAGACTCTGCCCACCAAACGCACGCTGATAGATTTTTCCTTCTTCAGTTCTGCTGAACGGCATCCCGTAATTTTCCAGCTGTTGAACCCAAATACAAGCATCAAACTCTAGGGCATAGCAGTCCAACAAGTTATTTTGCTATGTTCCAAGTTCACTATGTTCTTTAGAAGCTAGTCTGTGTTATAAATCCTTAGAGCTGACGCCAACTCCAGGGAGTCTCACCTCTATGACGGCAGCTGGGGCTTGCTCGGTCATGTAGTGTATGGCATCCTGGTCCCCCAGCCAATCAGACCCTTTCACTGTGTCATAGAAGTGCCACCTCCAGTTATCATCCTCCATGTTTCCCAGAGCAGCATTGATCCCTCCCTGAAAACGAAAATACATTTTCCTGGAACGATATTACTGAAGTACAGTTTAGTAGGTTTTCCCCATTTCTGTTAAAAATCACACACCACATACGCCTCTGTGTACGTGAAACACAGTAAAGTCAGACCTAACGTGCCTAACGTTGCCCTCAAACAGCTCCAACTAAATACACAGTACTTATAAAAGGAAGGGCGGCCCTGAAACACGATGTCCATGGGCACATCCAAATCAGCTTTCTGACAGCAGGCATTTCTTCAACATTTGTTCTACTCCTTTCTCACCTGTGCAGCCACAGTATGAGATCTGGTGGGAAACAGCTTTGTAACACATGCTGTATTAAATCCAGCTTCTGACAAACCAAACGCAGCCCGCAGACCCGCTCCTCCTGCACCCACAACAACTGCATCGAATTCATGGTCCACTACTGGATATTGTGTAGAAATCTGGGAAAAAATATCAATCAGTTTGTTATGATCACAAATACTTCAAGCTAGGTCAAACTTAAGTTTCATGAAGGCACAAGCAATATAGGTTTAATGTTCTTAATAGACTCCTGCAGCAAATGCTCCACCTGTTATGTACTCTCTTGGGTGGGAACTATCATTAAGAAAAGCCAGACATTTCAGCAACTTAGTCTCAGCATGTACTTGAACACAACACTCCCATAAAAGCTAAGTACCTGGTTGTTTCACATCTCTCAAGCTTTACATGTACTATCTAAGCTGTTAAGATATAAAGAAGTACAAACATACCGAATCAGAAACCTTCGTAGAAGCATTTTTCTTTCCGTAGACTGTGAAGTGTAAGTTGCGTGTGAGCGCCTGGCATGCCGCTGGCCACTGCGGAGAGAAGTCGCTGTTACAGAACAAGGTTTCCACACGGCAGACCTCCAGCACTCTGAGCTACATTTGTAACAAACTTCTACTTACCACCGATACCACAGCTATGAAAATATCCTATCAACGTATTTTAGAGCTACATGCAACGAAGTCCTGACTTTCCTATACTCACACCCAGATCAAAAAAAGAAAGAACAAAATGAGAACAGCCTGCAAGCAACACGGTGTCGCAGACTGTTATTTACATCACTAAAACTAACCAGTCTCTCAGACCTATCTGAGGCTGCACTGACAGAAGAGTATATTTGCAATTAATGCTGTAGTATTCTTACTTTCTTTTTTTGTAAGTAAACAAAAAAGGATATTGCTTTATGGGAACCACAGGAATTAACGGAAAATAATGCTCATTTCAAGCAATCCTCAGAATTTGAGTTATTTCAGGTGGTCAAGAGTAATGAAGATAAAAAATTAGGTGGTAGGTAAAGCTGTTCCAGCTCATCCTTGCTTCAAACTTCAGAGATACTTCTCTTTTTCTCATTCTCTAGTAATTAGTGGCAAATTTAGAACCATTTATTAATACCTAAATGAAGCACAAGGGCAGTTTTCCCCTTCTGTAACGTTATTCCCTCTCCCCTGGCATGTTCAACAACACAAACACACCCCACCATGCAAACCTACCCAGTATCCAGTCTTTGCTTTAACAGGTTAAAACAATCAGAATTTAGGCTCCACAGTATAAATAGCCAATTTCTTGGAACCTGGTATTCCCTCTTTACACTGTTCAAAAAAACCACACCTAACTGAGCACATATGATTGATGAGAATAGCAACACAAAGCCACAGTACTGACCTGTGCAGTGACATCAGCACCTCCCTATTTGAAATATCTCCTAAAATGCACTGGAGTGATAGTTGCCTTTTCCAGCAACTGTTATTTTCATGGTTCAATCACCCTATAATACACTAACAAGCAGCTCTTCCCTCCCTATCACTTCCAAACGACCATCTCTTCCCCCAATCCTGAAGTGAACTGCAGTACACTTTCCTCGACCTCGTTTTATCATCCCTTATACTAGTTTCTTCAAATTATCCTCTTGCATAACAGTGAATCCAATGTGTCATCACATGTGCTAACACACTTCTCTTTTTTACAGCCATCTTTAAATAAGATCAGTCTTAACACCTATTCATAAGGAGTTCCACAAGTACCCTCCTCCAGGCAGTTACTCGCCCCCTTCCACCCTGCTGTGTTATCACACTTTGGGGCAATTCCATGACCATCTTAATTCCTGTATTAATCATCTCCATTAATATTTTACATACAGAATCAGATCAACTACTCCACCGACAGCCAGATGAAACCTAAGCACCAGATCCAATTTATCTGCAAAACAGCTTTGCCAACAATCACAGCTCAAGCTAAAACGGGGTACGCTCTCTGCAGCAGAACTGCGTTCACAGGCCTGAGTGCAACTGAAGTTAGATTAGCAGAACTCTGACGTGACAGGCTACACTGCACACTTTAAATGTAGTGCCCGTGTATTCTCTAGCATATACTACCACTGCTTGTTTCCAAAACGTTGTTCCAGCAACAGTAAAGCTCTTTCTATTGCAGTAAATTCTTTCTTGAAGGTCAGCAACAATACCCTTGGTTACTGAATCAAGCAATTCAAAGAAAATCTTTATATAAAGGCAGCACACACAACAGACAGGTTTGTACATATGTAGCATTGCTTAAAGATAGTGCAAATGACTAAGAGGAAAAAATACCACCAAAAAACAACCTCAAGAGCTATAAACTGTGGTTATGCCCTAAAGCCCCAAAAGAAACTGAATCATTTTGCTTCTCCCCTCAAAGTAAACAGCCTGCTGCAATCTCCAGTCAGAATTCTGCCACAATGCCTTTCAACTAATATCCTTTTAAAAATTTTTGTTCATTTTCTGAAACAGCTATAAAGAGTTATCAAATATATTTTGCATCAGAGAACTCTGGAAATATATTATAGAAAAACAAAACCACACAACCGTTCAGCAGATTGCTTTTCTTCTCATATCTAAGCTTTCACAAAACAGTTTTCAGAACTGCTATTCCCATCCATATGCACTTTTTTGTTAAACCTATACGAAGAAAATTCTGCTGCCACTAAGTTTTGTTCAGAATGAGTCTGAACAAAAGCCCACAGAGCAGAAAAAGATGTTACACTAAACCTGAAGGAAACACTGATCACACTAATCCTGAATTGTTATGCTACCAGGAACATCATGGCCCTTACAAAATTAAAGGTCCAACCAAGGCAAGTCTGCTGCCATCTAAAACATAACAACACCCTTTAAGCTTTTCTCCCTGTCAGCACATTGTCTTTTCTGCACTTGCTTTGCAAAACAGGGGCAACTACAGCTGCATTTACAGGGTCCTTTTCCCACGCATTTATTTTTTGTAATCCCAAACTCATTATGAACGCACAGAGTGAGAAGAGTAGAAAGAAACTGAAAATTCTCACTTCACCGTGGAGAAAAACAAGCCTTCACTAAGAACTGCTTATAGATCAGCTAAAACAAAAACTGTCAAACATTTAAGAAACAAATCCTGGAAACAACTGCCAGCCAGATTTAAGCAACATGCAGTTATACACCAGCTTCCCATGCAGGTCCAGGAGCCAACAGCAAGTTTTCTACCCAGGTGCTGGGACTGGAAGGTGCTGC